GGATCAAAAGATGGCCCCAGTCCAAAAGTTCATAGCGCGAATGGAACAATAAACGATTTATCTGTGGAGCTCTCGTTATTTACAAACTGTCACAAACTGATTCAGCAAATTTATAACTGTCTGGTTTAAAAAGTTCATGGTATGAATGGCCTCACTTGCAACAAACTTTCAAGGTTGTAAACAGCGTGCGACTTGAAAGGTCGTTCGCTTAGGGACAACTATTTAACACAGACACCTCTGGTCTGGACAAAGGGACAAAGGAGTCCTTAAATTTTACACAAGGACATGCGTGACTTTTAAACAAGATTGTGCGTGATACCTATATGTTACACTATATACTCAGAGTATAAAAAAGCAGAGCCCCTTGTGAATCTTTAACTTGTATAGTCCAGAACAAGAGTGAGTGTCTGTTTGTATTTTACAGGTAAGAATTTTCTGTTTTATTACTCACCATTAAAAGTTACAGATTTCTGTAATGACTAGTAACTGAAATATTCTTGTGAGTTCTCTTTTTAATTTACTATTGTAATGTAGCGGAATATGGTATTGTTTTTTAGAATTGTTGTTCATTTGTATTTGTATGAATTTGCTGCTAGCTTCATTATAAAATTTAGTTGCGAATAAAAATATTCTTTAGATAATAAAGTATAATGATCAATGAACTTTTCCAGGTCGTTATTCTAAATTAAATGAAATTTCTTTAAAATATTTATGCATCAATCGCAACTATTGAATTTTAGGCTCTCTGAATAAAAGTAATATTTAATCACTTGCATGGTATTCTAAAATGCAGAAAAATATACAAACATATGAAGTGGTAGAGAGTGTGGAACACCAGCAAGCTGACATTGAACACTAAGATCTCCGTGTACCGTGCCTGCGTGCTTAGCACTCTCCTGTACGCCAGCGAAACTTGGGTGCTGTACACCTCTCAGAAGAAACGACTGAGTGCCTTTCACATGCGTTGTCTCCGTCGCATACTCGGGATCACCTGGAGCGATCGTGTGACAAACAACGAGGTGCTTCTGTCACGGAATTGTATACATGTTTTTTTTATTAAGTAAACGTACTCGGGTTTCGCTTTTAGTGTACAATGATACCCGAGGATGATCAATGTATATTATACATTTCGAAAAATAGTGAATTCGGTTCTTCCTTGCTCGGGACGTGCGAAGTGCTTCGGGCTGGAAAAACCGAATACATGGATTACACGGACGATGTTCAGCTACATTGCCTGTGTATATATGATTCAAACTGTAACGAAAATATTACATTACTGACCGTTCTGTCAATCAGACGTCTGTCTACTGAGACCCAAACCTCCAGCTATAGAGCTGTCTGTCTGTCTGTCTGTGTTTGTGTTGGTGCAGTGTGCAGCCGTTTGTGCCGGGTGCAGCAGTTTGTGCCGTGTGCAGCTGTCTGTACTGTGAGGGCGTATGCTGTGTTGTGCTGCTGTGTCGTGCCGTACAGCAGTGTAGAGCTACGTGTGCAGTGCTGAGGGGTGCTATGCTTGTGTATTCGAGGGCTTCAAATATTTCAACGTTGCTAGTCGGGTTGAGGTTGATCAAGCGTGTCGGACCAACGTGGTGGACGCTGATAGTCTAACCCAGGAATCAATGGTGGTCGGTGACTACAAATCTTTGCTTGGAATCAGGGAGTGTCTACATTGCTCCAGATACATAATATTTTAGCCGTGGGCTAATGCAGAGTTTTTGTAATATCAAGTGTTTTTGCTATCGTGAGTAAAAACTATCACTTCGCTAGTTTGAGCGAAATCTCATTTGTTTGTAGAATTATCAAGTCGTTATTATGAACGAACCATTATTCGTTTTACTAGTATGAGTAAAACTTGCAATACGTTATTTTTGAACGAACAATCATACTTTAGCCATTATATCAATTCGTCATTTTGAACATAACATTATTCGTATTTTACGATCATATTTCTGTTTGTGATATACTGTAGATCGTTTTTCATTTGTCTCGGTAACATATTTGTTGCATTTAAGATCGTGCTTATTACGTTAATTAGTCTCATATTGGGACCCAGTGCAAGCACGTGTCTATAATATTTCGTTTCATACCACCATATAACATTAAACATTGTATTGCATTCCCATCAACGGTGTTTTGTTATTAATCCGGAAATCCCAAACTCGGTCATCTTGTTACAGCTTCAACAGGCCAAAATTCTCAGCATGGTCACACTCCTCCGCCAACGTCGCATCAGATGACTGGGCCATGTGCGTCGAATGGATGATGGACAGATCCCCAAAGACCTTCTCTACTCTAAGCTTTCCTCAGGCAGAAGATCAATCAGACGGCCACATCTTCGCTTCAAGGATATCTGCAAGCAGGATATGAAAGCTCTTGGGATCAAGGTCAACACCTGGGAAGAGCTTGCCCTCGACAAGTCCAGCTGGCGACATGCTCTGTTCACAGGTCTGAAAGCCAGCGAGGAAAAGTTACGACAGCTCGCTGATGAGAAAAGATCTCAGAGGAAGAGGATGCAGTTCCAACCAAGACCTGACTCAAACTTTAAGTGTAGCAACTGTAGCAAGAATTACCACTCCCGTGTGGGCCTTTATAGTCACAGAAGACGCTGCACAACTACAAACTGGGACACCTTTCATGGGCGCATTTCCATCGTCTCTCGAGACTAACGGAAGCTAACCAAAAGGTATTTCATTGCTGAAAAGAGTTGTTCGTTCGTACGTATGAGGAACAACATGTGGGGTTTTTTTTAGTGTTAGTAGCTGTACTTCATCTATATTCTAAATAATAATTATGGAGTACTACACAACTGGCTTGGACAGATATATTTACTGAAATTATTTTTAAATTGGAAAAGAATACAATTTGTGATTCACAGTGAAAATGCTGGACATTTAGTGTTAACCTTTGTCTGACGTCATCATCCGCCAGCTTGGAACGGAAAAGAGATTCAAACTATCAATTTAGAACTGTTTTTTTTTTACAGGACTTATGTGTTTTGCACAACTTTAGAACAAAACTTTTGGGTCTTCTTCGTAAGCCGTATGTCTTGTTTCACATATTTACCTTTTCTCAGTGTTTTCTAGGGGGAAAAATATTTTTTAATATTTACAAAGCTTATTATAGTCACTCTTTCTTTGTGTTACTTAAAACGAGCCGACACATAACACAAGCTTTCTCTCCAAGCTGAACATATAGACGAGTCTAATATGTTTTATAAACAAGGTTATGTTGTATTAAGATCTGGTTTTAAGTTTAGACTGAGAATGTGTATGGCTTTTTCTTACCTATAAGGTACAGCTTCCCCATATGAGCCGTTACCGCATGATGACGACTAGATTCCGGAAGACATATGTATTCGATCCACTGGTTTTCACAAAGGTCTTGACGTTCTTTGAGTATGCCTGCAATAGCGCCATTTTCATTTTAAATAAAGACTTCTTAAACAGTCATAGCGAATGACAAGTTTCTTAAGAAATCATTATCACATAAATAAAACATTACTGTATTGCAAGAACATAACTTTATTCCAAGACAGAGCTACTTTCCTCAAGAGACTGGAGCAATGGATATTTAAGTCTGACAAGCTAAATAATATTAAATAAAACAAATAGAATATTCTACTTCGTGAATGGCAAAACTATAAAATTTTAGTTGTTAGTATGTACTATAATGTTTGCTTCTTTTCTACTCAATATGCATGAGCGTTTTTGTTCTCCTTGTTCATTTTCTAATCTATATGTCCCAACCCCCATTCCCTTTTGCGAGTTCTTGGAAATGTGAAATAGTCCAGATTCTGCATGTCGTTCGAGAAGACGAATCGACCTTTACACCAGAGGTCTTATATATGAAAAATGTGACCATGAATTTTGAAGACTTTACCCATTTAAACTTTTATGTTATGGGCCCTGAGAACCCTAGTGGTCCAGGGCGCATGCATTTATTCGGACATCTCAACTCGACTGTCGACTTCTATAGTCTCGGCTCGGCCAAAGCTGGGCGAACGCGGGTATGTGAGATAATTTGATAATAGCTTCCATTGGGTCGGCTGTTCTTTCATCAAAAATACTGACCGCCATGTATAGCATATCATATGCTTAAAATGTGTATAGAACTCCACAGAATTAAACTAAACCAAACTTTTACGATACTATTGTATGCTGTGTTAGGTAACACGTAACTTAATTGGCAGTGTAAAAACAGATCTGACGTTTAACTCAAGCACATGCATGATTCACTGGTTCAAACTTTAATGCAACACATAGGTATGTATGTACTATTTTCTAAAAAGGAAATATACTTACTTGCTTTACTTTCGTCAATTTCAAATTCACCAATCAAGAAAAGATCATGTACGCTCAAAGTGTCACGAGCATGTTGGTCATTTTTAGGCGTTGATGTTCGAGCAGGCTGGAAGGATTCCGAATTTTCCGGGAGAGATTTCATGGATTGGCTGTCGTGAACGGCTTCTTTTTGAAGTGACTGATTCTGTGCTTCGGCTGCAGTCCCAGTCTGATTCAGATGGTCATTCTCACAACTGTGGAATGATGTAACATCTCGAGCATAAGGGTGCATCTGTACAAAAGCATGTCAAACACTTAAATTCTGTTCATAATAAAATTCTTATTTTGTGAAATCATATTCGACGTCTTCTCATTTGAAATATAAATGTATGGCAGCACATGCCAACCTTAAGGACTTATGAATTAAACAATTCATTACAGGTGAAGGGGTGTGTATCTGATTTGCTGATGTGTGTGTGTGTGTGTGTGTGTGTGTGTGTGTGTGATTTGGATTTTAATGTACCATTAACAATAGTTCAGTCGTATCGATACGATGCAGTGTGGCAGTTTATAGTGATGTCTATCACTGGGGCATCATGCCGCAGACATGTAGCATGATGTCCCACCCAGTTACATTATCCTGACATCGGGCCGACCACTAACCTTTTATGCTAAGAGCCAAAAAAAAACAATTATTAGTACCATTTTTATAAGTCTTTGGTATGGCTCGGCCAGGGATGGAACCCACTACCTCCCGCATCAGAGGCAGACGCTTTAACCACTATGCCACCGGAGCGGTCACTTGATTGTTAAGAAATGGCTAAAAAGTATGGTGATAGCCATGTCCCATTTCTTTCACTTAAGTATATTTCTCCATTTAGCAGTGTGTTTGAAAGAATAACTTATAATAGAAACAATTCCGAATCCTTTTTTTTTCGTAGACTTTGACTTCTTGTACTTTCCAACATTTGATTGTACGGTGTAGTCGAATATGCCACCACTGGTAAATAGTTTACAGTTTTATGTACAATTGTCTTTTTATATTACTGATGATTTAGCGATATTTTTATGTACATGTGATAACTAGTTTTTTAGTTGTTTTGTATGACACTTTGAACAATGGGCTGAATAAATTAGTTCTTATCGTTTTACAGTGTAGTAACTTGTAGATATATGGGTACTGTAGAAACCAGAATACAATGAGGCAGTCTAATGTGGCTGGTGGTCAAAGTTTTAGATTTCGTACATTATACCTTGTACCCATTATTAAGATACCGACAATGTGCTTAGACATTTAAATTCAAATTTCATTAATAAATAAAGTTTACAAAACTGATTTACCAGTTGTGGTACAATACATACTTCAACATATACAGAAAGATATGTGAGCAGAAAATATTAATATTCCAGACTTGGATGAACATCATAATATTTTGGACAAAAATTCCTTCATTTTGATTATTATTACATTATTATTATTATTATTATTATTATTATTATTATTATTATTATTATTATTATTATTATTATTATTATTATTATTATTATTATTATTATTATAATGTAAAGAGTCAAACATCATCATTATTATTATTATTATTATTATTATTATTATTATTATTATTATTATTATTATTATTATTATTATTATTATTATTATTATTATTATTATTATTATTATTATTATTATTATTATTATTATTATTATTATTATTATTATTATTATTATGTTTACGGGGTCTGATGTTTTGTTAGAAATATCATGTTTATTTAAAACGCAAATGTGACTCGCGTAAGCATGATTTTTGTATGACGGTTTAAGTAAACCGTCGGAAATAGCTATGTAAATAATTGGCTGTGACCATGGTCATTTCTAGTAATACATATTGACAATCCATACGCAATATTTCGAAATCGCTGTGGGTTTGTTTTATTTTTTCATGCGTGTACATGAAATGACGTGTTGGTTTCTTCAAATGCTCAGGTATTTGCGAACTAGTTACATTTTAACATCTAAGAGAGTCACATCATAAAATCATATAGAGTTTCTAATACGTTAAAGAATATGTATTCCTGTGCTAGAAATAGTTCATCGTTGGTATGTTTGTAGATCAATATGTTTCTTTTTATTGGTGATAGTTGTACTTCATCTACCTTTTAATGAATAATTATTTTCCCTGGAGAACAACGCAACTGGCTTTGAATAAAGACATTTGCTGAAATTATATCTAAATTGGAACAGGACAATACAAATTGTAATTCACAGTGAAAATTCTGATCAATTGTATCAACTTTCTTCTGACATCATCATCCGCCATCTTGGAACGGACATGAGATTTCAGAATACGTTTATTCAGAACTGTGTAGTCATAGTTGTCATAGGACTGATGTTTTTTCACAATTTTAGGACAAATATTTGGCTTTTCTTCGTAAAGAGTAAGTCTTGTTTCATATTTTTACCTTTTCACCGTGTTTTCTAGGGAAATAAATTAATTTTGTTAAAATTTACAAAGCTTGTTGCCTTTGCTCTTTTCTTTATGTTACTTTGAATGAGCCGACACGTAACATTACCCATAGCCCTTCAGTTATTCATATTTTGTAGATCTAATTTTTCAAGTATTTATGTCTCCGTCAATGCTAACGAGGCTAACTTCAGTGCATCGTTTAGGGAATTCTTAGACCATATAGTATTGAGATTCTTTGTTGTTTCCATTTGTTTGAGGTTTGCTTACGCATCAACGAAGATTTTCTACTAAGAATTATCTAAACCATGATTCAACGTGGTAGGGTTCTTTTTTTAAAAAGCTGTATAAGCATTCAAAACAGAATAATTGTGATAATTGAACCACTCGACAACAATATGATTTCGAAGATTTCATTAAACGAAGTACATACAGAAGAAACGACATAAAGAAGTTTAAAAAGTTAGATCATAGGCGACCACGCATTGGGGCAAGGAGGGTGGGAGGCTACAGCCGTAAAACTTAATGGCTGAGCACTAAATGTGTGCCGCCATCTCCAAGTAATTCTGCAAAATCCCCTGAGTTAGATGACCATTAAATGACAATTACAGACAGCTGATTGTTGAAAATCTGAATAAATAGTTACCAAGAAGACATTCTTTTAATATTAGATATATTTTTTTGATATTTACATTTAAGCAAACAGGAAAGGTTTTAATCCAGAATAACGAATGTATGAGTCAATCAAAACAAGGAAATAAGAGGCCTGTTTGACATTAATGAAATAGTTTGAACAAACAGAAAGAAAATTGTATATATAGTAGAGAAGAATTTCTATGACAACAAACTTACCATCTGCTCCTTTTTGTAGCATATCCGGGCTGGTCTATCCACAAACATAAAGGGATCGTCTCTGTTAAGGGTGCGACCGGTAATTTGCCTGCAACAAAACATTCAAATAATAGATCATGGGACTTTATGTGATTTCAGACCTCTTAAGATGATAAATTGAATTTACACAATTAGCAGGTAAACGTGAGTGGATATGGTATTAAATTCACAACAAAATCATGGAACGAAGTCAGTGAGAGTTATAAAACGTTATGATAAAAATGATATTTAATTCGTAGTAAATCATTATTAATTAATTCTGTGGTGACAAATATAATGTCTCAAAATTTAAAGACGATATTGTTTATATATTATATGACAAGATCAACATTTCAAACTCAAGGTGTTTATTTGGGGGAAGGGTGGTCATAATTTTAGAAACCCAACTTCACCTTCTTATTTGAATTGTTTAAGGTTGGGAAAACTAACAACCTTATCTGGTTAAAGTAATTACAAATTTATCAAAATTACTCTTCTTCTAATAACAAACGTTTACAGAAATAATGGGGTAAATAGTAAGTAGCAAAGTAAAACAAAGCCTTATTTGAATGATCTAGAATAAAATCTTTGAAAAGTCTAGAACATACATCTTTAATTTATTGAATGTCCCTTTCTATCAACCTGTCACTTTCTCTTTCATTATAAAAGTCATTGTACTATCTATGACTTCAATAGCACCAATTATATGGGATTCTACCTCTGTACTATTTTCTCGTTGTGGTCAAAACAAAATAAGAATCAGAAAATATAACTCACCAACAAGCAACAAGAATCATATCTTTCAAATTTGTATGTCCATTCATCAAACTTGTTGTCTCCACGCACGTGAACAACTCTTCGTTAGTCATGTAAGAAAATCGTACGCATGCCATCAGCCGGAGGGCATATTTCAGCCTATCGGCAACGTCGTGCATTATCCACTGGACCGCTGCATTGAAAACCTCCTGTTCTGATGAGACAGTTAACAAATCAGAAGACAGGATATTGCAAACAGTATCCACGTCTAGCTGGAGAAAACCCTCGTACTTTACCAATGCATCCAAGTCTCTCAAAACCCGCTGATACAGTTGTTCATACACGGAACCGGAAGTTATCACCCTATTCCGGTTTACAAGTTTCAGAAGCTGCTCCGCTGGAAGTTTCTCTACAATGAATTTACACTTCCGCTGTAGCCTTGTGACCTGTAAAGATTGAATTTCTTTTTTAAGTTTCGAGAGATTATGATTAAAGATGCGTAAACTGGATATTTAATACAAAAGATGGTTTGTTATGTTTATGAACTCGCCACTATATTCGATGATGTGTTCTTTTCAGTCATGTCATATAATTTAAAAGATTTTTTTATATCACAGTTTTAAAATTCCATCTTTCACAGTTATAACAATACTTTTTGGACAAACTAATTGCCACGAATGGGGATAGAGGTTATAAATTTTGCACGACATATTACCTGTAGATAGTCTGCAACAAGGACCAAATCCGATGCCGTTTTGTCCGTAGTTCTAACCTCACCTGTATACACAAAGTGCAGGAACTCTTCAAAGGACTGGGCGCTGATGCCTCGCAACTTTATCTGACAAGGAAGCGTTTTTTCGGTAATTTTGTTGTTGAAAAGTTCTGCGAAATACAAACTATTACAAGCTAGGGCAAAACGATGAGCATAGAAAGTTCTGTCCTCGACCTCTATTATGACGTCTTTCAAACGGTCTTCTTTGAAAAGAACCTGAATATTTGCCCCTATTGTCACGTGATGTGCAATCTGATTAACAGACATGTCTGATATGGCGCTGATATCCAAGTCCAGATCATTATCATCACGAGGCATTGACTGACTATTAACTGTTTCCATCAAATAGCGAGAAAGATCACCGAATGTTCCCATGGATTTTAGCAGTGAATTCTGGTCAACATAGAAAAGCCGGCATGGAAGACCTCCATCTACATGTATTACGTCATCATCTATGGTTGGCGTCCCATCACCTATCTTGCTCTTAGCTATCTCTTTATTATCTAAATAACAAAAAGAATGAAAAACACGTTTAAGCAAAACTTTCATAAACAGATGTCCCTTACTTTTGCATTTAGTATGAAACTTTAAAAAAAAAATGGAATTGGGTTCATTCTTAGATTCAATCATTCTCTGCGGTTCAGGCCATAAATAGAAAAGGAGTTAACGAAATGTTGATAAATTTTTCATTCTATAGTTCATGACTTGTAATGGAAAAGTAATACAAAATGTTTATGTTAAACCATATTTTTTTGACTATTTACCTTTTTCCATTGATATCAACATTAAATTAAACCACACAACCAGTTTATCTACCTCTCGTATGAAAAAAAAAACCAATTTAGATAGAGAATTTCTCAAGTAATTTACATCCAGAAATCATTTACAGTAGAAAAATTGAACATTGGATTATAACTCAATCTAACTTGTAAAGAA